AGTATGTCACATCTTTCATTCGAAAAGTTAGAAATTGGGTCATTGATAGCTCATACCATATAAAATATATGGCACCGAAAGTTTAGAAAAATCACATTGTTATATAAGAATATTCTTCCAGAGGGTCTGCTGTCGGCTGATAGATGCTGAGACAATTATCGCAAGTACCAAGAAGATGCTGGTCTGTGAATAGTGCAACCAGTGTCTGGAATCCACTCTTGCAAAAACTAGAATCCATACAGCCAGCCAGGATGACCAGCAGTGAAAGCGGGTATGGATTTGTTCTAATAATGTTTTTGAAATTTCGGTCCTTGTAATGGACGAAAGAGTATAGTTCTTAGTACCTAATTATCTTATTAAGTAATTGGCTATACTTTATAGAATTGTGCAATGTAAGCATTTTTTTTATAATGTTACAGTTAGAATGTATTGACCATATATTAAATTACAAATTAACATCATATTCTTATGTATTTTTGTTGCTATGAATAAATTGTAAATACAATAGAAACTAGAATTTTACTGTATGTTTTGTAACAAGTAATTGCTGATATTTGGTATTTTAAACAATATTCATGGCATAAAATAACATTACCATCCTCAGTTACTTTGAAGAATAAGACTAGCTTACATAATAAACAGTGAATTATTAAAGAAATCTATTGTCATATTTATCTAGATGAATATTTCTGTGTTAAATGTGCATTATTCTGTTTGACATTAAATTGACATTGGGATTAACTCCATCCCATTTCATTATAAAGTTACACTTTGTAGATGTATTTCTATTGATGATAATTTCATGTTTTTACTGACATTTGTCAATGATCTCTGTAAAGACCAAAAGAATGCAAGGTGATACAGGAGGAAGAATTAACCAGAGGAAAATGGTTATATTTGAGCAACCATCATTGGACTGATCACACAGGAAAAGAGAGGTAAAACTATCAGAGTTATTTTGAATATATGTGTATATATCTTTGGCAAGGTTAATGCTTGTACATATGCTCTATCCTGCTTTCAATATTTTTACACAGGTGAAAGGAACATAAACACACATATGCAGACAAAACATGCTCACACAACATGTGGACACTTTTACATGTATTTGCTACATGTACACACACCATGTACACATGGTTTATGATTGACTAGAAGAAACAGGATATTATGTTTTATTTTAAAAGAATGGCTTTGAGGTATTTTACTGTGTGTATATTATGATTTCATAAATTATACACATTTGTTTTCCTCTACAGAATATGGGAAGTTGTTGGCAGAACTACCAAAGGCCCTCAAGATCAAGATTGCGTTGCTGTGGTAGCAATAGTTAGTAGGTCTGGACATCCTGATGCAATGGTGCTCATAAAGCAATTTCGACCACCATTGAAATCTTACACCATTGAAATGCCTGCAGGTATTGCATACAGTTTGTGTGAAATAGATTTTTACCTATGAGATTTTATTGATATATACATGCAGTACAGATCATATACATTGGATAGTGGATAATAATATACATAAAGATATCAGAAAAAAAAAACGTTTTTTTAGGACTTGTTGACAATGGTGAAACAATAGAAACAGCTGCATTAAGGGAACTCAAAGAAGAAACTGGATATAGTGGGTCTATAACTGGCATAGGTAGAAATGTTTCTTTAGATCCAGGAATGTCAAGTGCAACTATGAAGATTGTTACAGTAAAAGTGAGTGTATATTTCTGTTCTTTGTGGATATCATGGATTCTATACAGGCCAGAATTTTACGTCTTGATTTTCACAGACAATTATCATCTAGAGAAGCATGACGAAGAATGGACTAATACATTATTTTGATTCTACTCTTGTGTTCTTTGGCAGAATATATAATCAATCCATAGTGAATTTTATGATACTGTACAAAGTTAAGTTTTAGGGTCCTTTAGTTCTAAAGTTGGCTCTTATGGCTACTGTTGTGTAAATTCTGTCTCTTATGCAGTGTACTTCTGTTAGACAAGCATATATTGTAGGTCATCCTAGGTTTGTCATCATCATTATGTGGTGTATTATTTTTAGAGAGAATATGTTTTTTATTGTGAGGAAAAGCAGTCAAGTAAGTAAAGAAACACTAAACCTAGGATATTAGCACTATAATGTGCATTTATGTATGTGTCCTATTTTTAGAATTGTGTATTTCAGATGTAGCACTGTAATTCTAAAGTATACAGTATCCAACACTATTTTGAAGTAGAAAGAAGTGATACTGTCATGATGATATTTGTCATGATAATAAAAACGAGACAGGATGCTCTCTAATGTACCTCCAAATGTTCTTTATTAAGTAAAAGGATACCAAGAGCAATAGTCGTTTTATAGAAGACTGACGAGTGCATATTAATGGAAACTTTTTTATCAGTTACAAATTACAAATAACATTTAGTTTATAGAATAACAGCCTCTTTTACATTCGGCTCAGGAAATTGTTAGTGTATTTCTATTAACCATATTACTTCCTGGATTAGGGGTACTGCTTTTTTATGTTTTGTTCATCTTCAAGTTATTCATTCTTAATGTAGATAATGACTGGTTGTGAAGGAATTCCTGGCAGCATAAATCTGGGTTTCATAGAATATATTTTTCTCCATATTTTTCCTGGCTTGGTAAGGGTTATAATACTCATTTATCGTAATTGTTTTTTCACTGTACATCATGGATTATATGATACCATATGATTTATGTTATTGGCCATATCATAGTTTTTTTTTTCTCATTTTTCAAAACTTCTGGTATTGCTGGTACCAATAGGTAGTTTTTTAATGATAATTTAATAATATTGTACAGGGCATCTTAGTTTACTAATCTTTTGGCTTGAGGAATTTAGATAAAACCTATGCAACCATGCTAGGCTACTTCAGAAATAGGATATTTCTTAGTTCACTGCAAGTAAACAACCTGTCCTATTGGGAACCTTTTGTAATAGCTCCTTTACTTTCTTATAATGATCATAATGGCCATAGAGTTACTTGATCAAATATGGAACAGGTACTTATTCAAGTTATAGTACTTTTATCCCATCAGTCTTGTGATGATCTCTCACTATTTATTCCTTGTACTTTGTTTCCAAGAATATGTTAATGTCACTTGTAAGAAAAAGTTAAGGAGGTAACAAAATGCTTATATTTCACTATTTTAATAAAATGATAATGTGTTGACTCAAGATATATCCTGAAACAGATCCATGAGCCTATTACTGAGCGAGCAAGAATGACCTATTCCCTGCCTATTTATGAGTTTTATGCTGAATAGGGTAGTTCCTTTAATTCATACTTGACCATGCCTTTCTACAATGATATTTATATATGCTTGAGGATTAGTAATAATAAAATCTATATATAAACAATGCATAATATGTGAATATATATCTTCAAATTATAAAAGGAATAACATAAATCCTTGCTAACATATATGTGACATTTATGGTATAATGGACTACCTATAGTATTTGTTTGTTAAATGGGACTATCAAATGTTCTTTTTTAGTGCCTACGACACTTTTTAGTATATGAAGTTTTTAGAAAAGGCAAGAGCAATTTAGATTTTTCCTTTTTGTCTATCTATTCGTGAATTTTTTTTCTCTCTCTGAGGAATGTGTAAGATCTAGCAAAGTATAATTTTGTGAAGGTAGGGACTCCATTTTATACATTAATATGGTACAGTGATAAACAGATTAGTGTGTGTGCATATATAACAAAAGGAAAAATAACAGGTCACTTCTTTTAGGTTAATGGTGATGATGCTGTGAACAAGGATGTTTCCAGAGTGTGTGGTGTCCAAGGAGAACACATAGAAGTAATTCTTGTGCCGCTGAACTCTATCCAGAAGTGTTTGATGGGTAATGTATTATAATCATTAGGTTATGTGATTCAGTAAAACATCATAATTAAGTGAGGCAAGTTTTATAATTATAGAATACATAACAAATTCATACATTCACATTTCTTGCTGCATAAATGCAAAAAACAGATGTATAGTCATGAAATTAGAAATGGTTACAGATCATGTAATTTATCTTTTCATCTGAAGAAAATGCTATATTTTCTATGATAAATAGAGGCATAATCCATTATGACTGCATGCAATGTAAAATTCTTACTTTTTGTCAAGAGAGCACTCAAGTTTCCATACACTTTTTTTTTTATTATTTTTTTTTTTTCAGACTTTGCAGCAGATGGGCTAATAATTGATTCAAGAGTAGAGGCTTTTGCTCTTGGTTTTGCACTGACCTCAGAGAAAATTATTTAACATATAATTGATATTGTACTTGTATTTGTATTAAAGTTGGTGAGAAAAATGTGAAGAATAAATATACAATTTAATTGTATTGCCATTTCTTTCTCACAGCTATCATTAGTTCTACGTTTTAGTGATACAACGGAAACTAAGGAAAGTTATTGCTTTGCTACTACCACAGCACTTCTATGCGCAAGTGTAACTATTATTAATCTCCCCTGTAATTAAGTAATTAAGTTAGACCATCTCCCTTATCTAAAGTAGATCAGTGGATCATTAAAATCCAAGTAAAAACATACTGTAGATGTGAAAAAATGAAAATAACAGTTCATAGTACAGTATGTGAAATTCTTTGTTCTCTCTTCACTGTTCTGATGAGCTTCATTTTGTTATTAAAAACAAGTAGAATATAAACAATAATTAATAACCTCTAATATGAACTTTTTTTTGTTAGTTACTTTGGATTTTACTCATTTTTAAACAACAGCATAAATAGATTTTTAGAAATAAATTATGCATGATAGTCTAATACAGCTGTAGCATTATTGTTTACTGGAAAAAAAAAAATGAAAGTGCTGGGAAATTAATTTTATATTAATTTTACTTTGTTTATTCCTTTCTCTAGTTGATCACTAACTTTTTTTTTTAAGGACTGTACCCTGTTGAATGTACTATACATGGGCATTTGTCTCGTGAGTGAGTGTGTGTAAGTGTGAGTTTGTCTTTGTCTTT